AGCCTGGGTGACAGAGCGAGACTCCATCTCAAAATAAAATAAATAAAATTTCTGTAAGAGAAAGATTTCCAGCTGATCTGGTCATAGGAGTTTGTGTGATCGTGTGTGTGTTTCACTCGTAGTGCGGGTAACTAAGGCTACGAGTTTCCCAGAAAACTGTCCTTACCTGCATTTAAGGGTGGGATGCACCAGATCAACAGAAATAGCCACAGTTATTTGAAAAGCCTACAATATCACATACAGTCAACATGTGTGTTATTACTAATCATACAGCTTTCCGTTCGGACTTCATGCTGTGATTTCTCTGGGAACTAGCATGTTATTAAGGGATCACAGGTTTTTTGGAGCAACAGCAGCAGCATGATGGCTAATCCCCAGTGAAGAACCAGTGCTTCTCCAAACACTGCAATGTGTTCTCGAGTAACTCTATGAGGATTATGGACTGTCCAGTTATCCCTACTCCACAGATGTGGAAAGTGAGCTGCCCAGAGGCTTGGAAACTTTACCTGATTTTGTTATGGGAAAGCAGAGTTTGAACATGGGCAGTCTGACTCCAAAGCCCATCACTATAAAGCACGCATTTTACTAATTGGCACTATCACTTGTTTAACCCCAATGGATGGATGGATCTATTTTAGAGACAGGATCTAGCTCTGTAACTCAACACTGGAGTGCAGTGGTGTGATTATAGTTTACTGCAACCTCGAACTCCTGGGCCCAAGCGATGTTCCCATCTCAGACTCCTGAGTAACTAGGATGACAGGCATGTGCCACTCTGCCCAGCTAATTTTTTATTTTATTTTTTTATTTTTAGAGACAGGATCTCACTCTATCACCAAGGCTGGAGTACAGTGGTACAATCATAGCTTACTTCAGCCTCCACCTTCTGGGCTCAAGCAATCCTCCCACCTCAGCCTCCTGAGTAGCTGGGACCACAGGCACATGCCACTATGCATGGCTAATATAATTTTTTTTTTTTTTTAGTAGAGATGGGGCCTTGCTATGTTGCCCAGGCTTGTCTCAAACTCCTGAGCTCAATTGATCCTCCCACCTTGACCTCCCAAAGTGTTGGGATTATAGGTGTGAGCCACCTTGCCCAGACCTGTTTTTAATTTTTAGAGATAGGGTCTTGCTATGTTGCCCAGACTGGTCATGAGCTCCTGGGCTTAAGCAATCCTCCTGCGTCATCCTCCTGAGTAGTTGGGATTACAGGCATGAGCCAGCGGGCCCAGCTTAAACCCGCATTTATTCAGAGGTTACTATGAGGTCACTACTTTGCATATATATTATCTCATTGTTCCTAAAGTTAAAAAAGCAGTGTCTTCTGCTTCTGGGGAAATGGAAGGAAGCTCACTCTTTGTTAACAGTCATTTCACAATATGAAAGACAGACTTGCTCGTCGTAGATAATTTGGAAAGTATAGAAGAGTATAGAGGAAATAAAAACAACCCAGAATATATTAGCTGGAGAGAACTTTACATGTATGCCTTTACATGTATACCTTCTGAACAAAATCACTCTTTTAAAGTGATTTCATGAATTTATAGCTAACAATGCAATGTCATAACTCAAATTTTTGTCATGCCACGTTGTGAAATCCTAACTATAGTTTTGAACTAAGTGACCCCGGTGCTTTTTTCTTGTGAAATAAATACCTTTTGAAAAGCTCTCTGAAAGTTTAACTCAGGTCTAGGGTTTGTAGTTAAAAACAGCACATACCATTTCTCCTACCTTCACTGAAGGCTGTCAACAGCACCTGATGGCTTGTGAGCGTGTTTGGCTGTGGTGTGTATAGGTTTTGCCTTAGATTAGAATTTTCTTCTGAAGGCCCCCGCAATGTCACTGTAGCCACTAGACCTTGGTCACACGGAGTGTGGAGCCAGCTGTCAGTTTCTGGGCAGGCTCTGGCCGGGAACGCACACAGCGTCAAAGCAGTGAATAAGCGATTTCTGCAGTTCCCGTAGCTGCCAGCCTGTGCAGTCCTCGGTGATGCTTGGGGACCGGCTCCTCAGTCACACCGCAGTCCTGCTCTGAAGGTTGCCGTTTTCTAAACAGAAGGATGGTAGCTAGAGGAGAGATAGCAAGATTCTGGAGTCTGGAAAGCCTTCGCTTGGGTATGTGTGCAGAGAATGGATTGTTGTACTGTGACATGCTGCTGATTCAGCTGTTTGCTTCCCAAGTTGCAGTTCTTTCTTTCTCTCTCTTTCTCTCTCTCTCTTTCTCTCTTTCTCTCTCTCACTCTCTCTCACTCTCTCTCTCTCTCTCTCTCTCTCTGCTGCTTGTCAGGTGTGAGCATGTGGGGAAAAACTCACTGTTCTTGTAAAGGGTACTGAGGATAGTTTTAGTTGTGAACATAGTCAGTTAAAGAAATTGGGTTTGTTTATGGCACAGTTGCTTGTCTGGAGTAGAAAATCGTAAGAATCAAGCCTGAACCATCCTTCCTGAGTAAGGGGTCTGGGTTTTGCTGCTGGTATTGTTACTGGTTTCTGCTTCTATTACGTGAAATTCCTTTATTCAAGAGTATATTGTTGGGGTGTATAAAAATGTTTCTTGCTAATTTAGGATGTGTGAGGTTTAAGACTGTGAACTGATCTTTGAAAAATAGTTTCCTGTTTTCAAAAGTGACGTTACCCAGTATTTGCTTACTGCTTTGTGCCTTATCTCCCGCTTTCTTTTTAGTATTTCTGTGAGTATTGTCAACTGGACTCTTTGGACTATTTAAATGTGAAAGAAACGGTCTACTCTCACACTAGGAAGCCGTAAACTCAAATCCTCACATTCTTAAAAGGAAGTAAGAAAAAACAAGACTTCACAGACAGACTTTTCCCTGGCTGCACTACATGGATACAATAGGATGCTTTAGAAACAGATCTTGTCTCTGTTTTCGCCCTAAATAGCCGCCAGCGCCTCGCCTGAAATGAATGGGAGCCGTAGACGGCAGCTCGCGGCAGCCTGGGGCCCTGTCAGAGCAGGACAGTTTGTAGTTTGTGCTTTCTTCCTTGTTTTGATTGGTTTCTGTGCTGGCAGAGAGAAAGCAGGGATGTGGTTACGGCTTCTGTGTCTGGTGGATTATCAAAACAAGACTGGCGTGTACTCCGCTTTACCGGCCAAAATTTAGAAAAAAGAAAAAAAAAAAGTTGCCCTGCGATTTCTATATTGAGAACACAGACCACATGAGTGAGAGGGCTCGGCAATGCTAGCGAGACGGCCCTGGCAAGACCCGGGTGGAGGAAGCGGGCGTGCGGGTGCTCCCTCCCCGGGTTCCTGCACCCATGGCCTTGAGCAGGGGTGTGTTCATTCCTGCGGGGAGTGCAGCCAGCATGAACGGGCAGGGGCAGGGGCGGGAGCGGGTGGCCCCCGGCTGTCCTCCAACATTCCTCCACCCCCTTCCACAGAGTGGAGGCCGAGGGGAGCCCGACCCAGCCTCCAGCCCTGAGCGGTGCTCCCTCAGTGCTGCCGGAGAAGTAGCATACCAGAACCTGCCCTCTGCGGCCTTCACCCTCTGCAGCAGTCCCTCGCCTGCCTCACTGAGAGGGGCCTCGGTCCGTGCACTGCGAAAACTGTTGCCACTCCTATGCGCTCTACTGAGCGAGTACATGTAATAAAATGACAACAAGCACCATATTTAAAACAAATAATAAAGCTTACCTGTGGTGGGTTTTCTTTCATTTGAGAGCCCTGAGGGGGCAGGGGAGGTGTTGTGGGGCTCTGACAGACCCTGAGGGACAGCCTGGTGGCTCCCAGGAGGACGCCATGTCAGGGAGGGCGGGTGTGTGGGTTGTCGGCTGTTTTGTGCTGTCCTGTCCTGTCCTCCTGTCAGTGTGAGTTGAAGCCGAGCTTGAGACAGGCTCAGAGCAGGATTGCTTTCCTGGCAGACACACCTGGCTTTGAGTCCAGCCCCGCAACTTGGGGACAGTTACTTAACCTCTTTGAGTCGCAGTTTTCTCCTTCATAATCAGACAGCAACACTGCAGGATGCTTGTGAGGCTCGCAAGAGGACTTATTCCAGTGCTGAGCGCAGTGCCTGGCGCACTTTAAGACGCCTGGAAGCCAGATGGGTGATTGCTCAGGTCCGTCCAGCCAGCTGGGCAGCCGTCAGAAACTGGGAGGGCTGACGAGACACCAGCCCAGAGAGCTGTCAGGGAGCGGCGGAGCAGAGGAGAGGTCCCAGGATGGATCGGCAGGTGTCAGCCGGAATGGACGAGAGGAGCCGTGCTCAGAGCCAGCAGCCCCAGAACAAGCAGCTCCTGGCTAATAACAGAAGACAGGCACTGTGGGACAAGCCAGAGGTAAAACCTAAGAGCTTTACTGCAAGACACAGAGAAGCCCAGAGCCAACGCCCCAGCTCTGAACTGGAGACAGGACAGAGGCTGAGTTTTGAGAGCAGGAGAGAGTGGAGCTGCTGGCTTGATTGTGGGGTCTGGAGCCAATGGGATGTTGGCTGCCCAGGGTGCAGGGCCCTACGTTGAATACTGATGTGAAGCTATACATCGGGAGAATGATTTTTAAAAGCTCCTTAGACATTAATAACAGATTATCAGTGAGTGTTAATATGTCAATTTCTAAGATTCCTTTTGATCTTATTGTCCACATGTTTAAAAGATTGAAAAATACTATTTATGAAGAATGGCTTGAAAGTCTAGATTGGATATACTAGTGACTTTTCCAACAGTAACATTTTACATTCTGGAGCATGAAACATATTTCATACTTTAATTCAGTCACCCAACACAGACTATTAAGCATGTTCCTTGTCTTTGAGAAAGTCATAGCTAGGATAGGAGTTGGGGGAGGATATAAAGGGACAGATATAAACTTAATAATAACTATAATATAAATGTGATGCATATTTTAAAAGAGGTTAGTCTAAGATGTTTCTAGAACATCAAAGGCAGATGTTGTTATGGCAGAGGATCAGGGAGCTGAAAAATAAGTCATGGAACCGTCACCAAGCACTGATGGTTACAACTTTTGTTTGTTGTTTGTTTGGTTAGTTTTTGTTTCTTCAGGTTTATTTTTAAATAGAGACGGGATCTTGTTATGTTGCCTAGGCTGGTCTTGAACTCCCGGCCTCAAGCAGTCCTCCTGCCTCAGCCTCCTAAAGTGCTGAGATTACAGGCATGAGCCACTTCACCCGGCCAGTGGTTAAACTTTTGAAGGATGGGCCAGGATTTGATGGGCTCTTTTGGGTGGGAAAGTTGCTCCAGGTGGAGAGATCAGCGTGGATAGATGAAAGGATTTTGTCCTGTTCATTGGAACAAGGAATGCTCTATGATACAGATTGGCTAACGCAGAGGTTTCCAGCCAATGCAGTCAGAATCCATTGCCTGCAACTTGTGGCTTGCTGCATGGACAGGCAACAAAAGGCTTATGTCCTATAACAACCTGAGCCTGCGGTGTGGTTTAAGTAAGCTTAACCTGAAGGTCGAGTCGTTCCCAAATTTTTCCAGGTGTCAGAATCATTTGAGGAGCTTTTCAAAACAAATTCTCAGCATACATTCCCCACCCCCACCACCCAACCTGACTCAGTGGCCCAGGGCAGGGAAGGTCTTTATTTTTCTAAACGTTTTCCCTGTGAATAGATGCCACAGGCCCTGGGTGTTTGGGAACCACTGAAGGGGGATGGACCCTGGAAGTCGTGCATCATGTTTTGACATTGTCAGTTCCTGTGACCCAGCTCGTTCCCTCTGTGTGCATCTCCATGGCCTGAGTTCTTGAGGTCCACCCGTGGTTTCAGCCCACGGAGCAGCAGCCCACGACAGCTGCTCCCGGCCGTGAACACGAGCTGCCCGCCTGGGCTGGCCATTTCCGTTTTTAAGATGGGAAGTCAGAATGGCTTATCTCAACTCTGAGGAAGTCTGAGCGATCAGCGAGAGGTTTTCTCAAATACATGGTTTTAGCAGATTATTTTAAGAGTGGGGGAATTTCCCTGAAATCAAGGGAGGGGAAGTTCCCCACCAAGGACTAACGCTGGGTGGGAGATGCTGGTCAGGAACCAGCTGCTCATTAGCTAGGCAGTGTTGGAGACTGCCTCATGAAAATAGCTAAAATCTGTATCTCCTCCTTGTCAAGTGCCTGATGTTTAAGGGCTGTGTTAGATCTCCCCTCCCTTTCCTTTAACAAAACACCTCAACCCCTGCCCTGTTACCACACCCTCACCAGGACTACCCTCCCCCACTTATAAGTCAGGGCTTTTTTTTTTCCTGATGTCTTCTCCAGCTGGATTTGTAACAGTCCTTCCAATTTAAAGCAAAATGACACCTCCCGTATGGCTACCACGTTGTTCTCTGTAGTAGGTCCTAAAGCTATAACTGGCCAGGGCTGAAAATGTGGACGGGGGCGTTCTACTCCCTGACAGCTGCAGCCAGGAGGAAAGCAGGGATGGGGAGGAAGGTGAGACATTAGCCTGAGGGATGGACGGGGAAGGGCCGCTGCGGCCCCAGGAATCAGGAGCCTCCAGAGGGCAGTGTTTCTGGGAGTGATGGTTAACCATGATTATTGAACAAGACCATTATAAATTCACTTTATTACATTTTTGGAATTGACCATACTCTGTGGAACAGATGTGCTCTCTTGAAATTGTCCCCAGCCAGAGAGGGGCTGACAGTCAGCACACAGTTTTGATGATCAAGGATGTGCTCTGTCTACCTGACTGAAGCTGCGGGAAGTGTCGTAGGAAGAGCCTGCTCTGTCTGCTCTCAGATTGATTGTAGGCATTTGGGGTTTTAAAACTGATTTCAATTTGGAGCAGTCTTTGCTTCTTGTGTACAAGATCGTTTTCAAAAATGGCTTTTTGGGCCAGGTGCAGTGGCTCACGCCTGTAATCCCAGCACTTTGGGAAGCCGAGGCAGGTGGATCACCTGAGGTCAGGAGTTTGAGACCAGCCTGGCCAACATGGCGAAACCCCATCTCTACTAAAAATACAAAAATGAGCTGGATGTGATGGCGCACACCTGTAATCTCAGCTACTCGGTAGGCTGAGGCAGGAGAGTCGCTTGAACCCTGGAGGCAGAGGTTGCAGTGAGCCGAGATCGTGCTGGTGCACTCTAGCCTGGGCGACAGAGCAAGACCTTGTCCCCCACCCCTCCCCCAAAAAATGTTTTTCCACCAAAAGAAACTACAGTTGGTGAGAATGTGGAGAAATTGCACTGTTGGTGGGAATGTGAGATGATGCAGCCATTGTGGAAAACAGTATGGAGGGCCCTCAAAAAATTAAGACTAGAATTACCGTTTGATCCAGTACACTAAAGAATCGAAAGCAAGGTCTCAAAAAGATAGTAGCACATTACTCACAATAGCCAAGTGGTAAAAGCAGCCCAAATGTTTACCCACAAACAGATAAACAGAATGTGGTGTGTATATACACAATGGAATATTTTGGGTTTTTTTTTTTTCCCTTTTTAAAAATCAATAGAAGTGCTAGGCAAACAATGGAATATCATATAGTGTTTAAAAAGAAGGAAATGCTAACACTTGGTACACATGAATGGATGTCAAGGACATTATGCTTAGTGAAATAAACCAGCCATACAAGGACATACACTGTATGGTTCCATTCATATGAAGTATCTAAAGTAGTCAACATCATAGAAACAGAAAGTGGAAAGGTGGTTGCCAGGGAACAGGAGAGGAAGAAGAGAAAAGTAATGTTTAAGAAGTGTGACAGTTTTGCAAGATGAAAAAGTTCTGTCACACAACAGTATGAATATACTTGACACTGCTGAACTGGAACTGTGTGCTTAAAAGTGGTTAAGATGGTAAAATTTAATGTTATGTGTTCATCACATAGGAAGAAAGAAACAACATTTACTTTTTAATTATTATAATATATTCATTTCTCCTGATTTTGGTGACATACATTTTGAGAATTTATAATAGCTTTACAGCATTGAAATTCGCCTAGATAAGAAGTCACTATTATTAACTTTCATCTGTAGTTGAGGATCCAAGCCCATTGAAGTTAGTGAGGAATGGAACATAAAGAGGTGAAGGGAGCAGCAGCACCGGCCTGTGGGTCTGGCGATCATGAGGAACTCTGCCGAGCGGAACTGGCCTGGGCTTTGACACGCTGTGGACTATGACATGTAGGATTTTTCAGCTAAACTGCAAATTGCTGTTTCCCCATCAGCAATTCGTAATTCAACTGAACAATGTCTGTTGAGAGTATGTGACACTTTAAAAAGTGTTCAGGTAGAGTGGAGTCAGATTACAGAGAAGATACGCTGTAGAATAATTTTGTCATGAAGCAATAGACAACTCCCATGTCATTTCTTGTGACATCATAAAACCACTGTTTTAAGAAGTTCACCTTGGAAGTAATATATAGGATGGCTTGGGGAGGGAAACAGAGTCATGAAGACTGGCTGGGGGATTTTTCTAGCTACAGTCTCAGATGAGCACAGGGGTGGGAGTTAGAGAGACCTGGGTTCCCATCCTGGTTCGGACCCGGCCCCTGTGTAGCCCTGATAAATGATTTAACTTCTTGGAACCTCAGTTTCCACATCAGCAATTTGCAGTTCAATTGGAAATCACATACTGAGTGCCTTCTGTATGGCAGATACTATGCTAGGGGCTGGAAAGACAAAAATCAAACGTCTGTCCTTTGCTTTAAGCCTGTCCTGTCCTTTAGGATGGTAAGCGACCATCTTAAAGGAAACACACATAGAAGGACAGTAAGTGTGGGGAGTCCTAGAAAACCACCAGGCTTGGACGAAGCATCAAAGCAAAGCGCGAAGATTCTTCCTGTGTGGACATCAGACACTGAGAAATCCCACTCCACAAAACACACTAAGCATAGCGCGAAGATTCTTCCTGTGTGGACATCAGACACTGAGAAATCCCACTCCATAAAACACGCTTAAATTACGGGACACAGGAGTCATTAACTTCAAGGGACTTTAAAATCGTGAAAGTGGTTGGGGTGGTGAAGGGAAAAGGATACAACCAGAAAACGGAATCAGGTCCTTGACAGGCCCCACTGGGAGCGGAGATTGGGAGTCGGAAGAAAGGGTTAGTGAGGGGGCTCCGGGGACGGCAGGACATACGGCTGCTCTCCAGAATGGGAGCAAAACACCCAGAACTGGATACTAAGACTGTTTTTAATATCATTTTGTCTTGTTACAAGTACCAGAGCCACTGCTGGGGGAGGCAGTTCCGCCCAGTGGGTAAGAGAGGGCCCGGGCCTGCCGCACACAGCTGTGTGTTATTGGGACTTGGGTCTCCTCATCTAGAAGTGGGGACAACTGACAGTACCTCCCATGTAGCATTGTCATGAGCATTATATGAGCCTGTTCACCTCCACAGCTTAAATCAGTGCCTAGCACATTATAGGTGCCTGATAACATAACATCTTGCAATTTTTTTTTTTTTTTTTTTTTTTAATTTATAGAGATGAGTCTTCTTATGTTACCCAGGCTGGTCTCAAACTCCTGGGCTCAAGGGATCCTCCTGCCTCAGTCTTCCAAAGTGCTGGGATTACAGGCATTAGCTACCGTGCCCAGCCACATCTTGCAATTCTATACTGTTTTTCAGTTTACAGGGTGCTTTCATATATCATCATTCCACTTGAAGCTCAAAGCACACCAATAACAAGTACTTGTTCAGAATGTATAATCCCTGAGAGATGGGTATTGTCATCCACATTCAACAGGTGAAAAAACAAAGAAACTTGACCAAGGTCTCAAAACAGAAAAATATAGAGAAGAAAAAAATGTACATCACTATCATTTGAAGGCAAGTTAATCTGACCCCAAAGCCTTGCACAAAGTTCACATGCTGTATTCCTTCCCTCCCCTCCCCCCCACCTTTGCTCCCATGTGTGCCAGGCAGGTCTAGGTGTTAGGAACACAGTTAAGAATAAAGCAGACAAGCATTACTGCCTTTCTGGAGCTTGCATTCTGGACAATGAACAGAATACATTAGACGGTGCCAAAAGCTATGGAGAAAACTAAACTAGGGGAGACGGTAGAGTAAGAGTGAGGGTTGTGCTTTTAAGTGGGATGGTGAAGGT